CATGTTCTTGGTCAGAAAGATTTTCATGCCCTCGTACACGTTTGTCGGGGCTCCATTTAAGGCGCCGGTCTTCTTGAGCCCCTTACCGCTCTCCTCGTAGTTCTCTTGGTTGGCCTCATAGTCAAACAGCACGTTGCCGATGGGTTGTTTGTGGCGGTGCTTGAAAAAGGCTTCCACGGCAACGCTGTTTGCCTTGGCGCTGGCCTGGCGGCTGCACGTGACAATGGTGGTGTCGTCGTGCTGCCTGAAAAGCTCCACAACGTCGTAGGCGGTGGGATCGTTGTTGGTCCACGCCCGGCGACCTTTCAGAATCTTCTTCAGCTGTTTCATGCTGGGCTGCGCTTGTCTCAGGATGTCCAACTTCTCTTGCAACTTGGGGCACTTGCAGCGCACCTGTTCGTGAAAGTTGATGGTCTGCACGTGCTGCTGCCAAGCTTGGCTTGCGTCGCAGCGGCCCACGCCTTTCTCCACCACCGGAAGCTGCCAGAAATCGCCCAGCAGGACAAGGCACGGCAGCTGCTCCGCGTACTTCCACATGGCCAGGATGCGCTCAAAGTGCGGAGCTGTAAGCATGGAGACCTGATCAGCGTGCGTCTCTTGCGCTTCATACATGTCAGAGGTCACGACACGCCGAACTGGGGCGCTCTTATTCTAAAAGTGGCGTTGAACTAGCAGAATGGTACATGCTGTTGGGCAAGCTGATGTCAAAAAAAGGAAAAGAGCAACCACGCTTTGCCCGACCCACGGCCTCGTCGATCACGACCAGCTCGTACTGCGTCAAAATAGCCATGGCTTCCTGCAGAGGCCGCCGCAGTAGAAATGCGCCGTGGCTAGTGTCCACGTCAATGTCGGGATGCACACTGCGAACCTCCGAGGCCAGCTGGCCGGTGGGCAGCGTAAACAAGACGCGTGCGCCTTTGCGCTGCCACTTGCGGATCTGCTCGTGCACCACGTGGGTCTTCCCGGTGCCAGGCGGGCCGCTTGCAAACAGGATCTTGTGCGGCAAGGCTGCTTGCACGCAGGCGTCCAACTCTTCGTCTGTCTGCGCCCTGCACGCCGCCATGGCCGTGGCCATGTGCTCCGAGATGGTCTTGGCCAGCCGCTTCTGCGATCTAGTGAGGTCGTGCTTCTCCACCTTCCTGTCCACATTCTCCGCGCTGGCTGAAGACTCCTGCGAGCTCCCTACCGCCTCTTGCGCTGGAATGGCCTCATCCAGGTAGCGCTGGACAATGTGGCGGTGCGCCCGGACCTTGTTCAGGACGGTCTGCACAAAGGCTGCGCTGTGAGCTTCCAACTCCATCTGTGTCCGAATAGCCTCATCGTCGTACCAAAACTCAGGAGCGTGGCGCAGACACAGCGCGAAGTTGCGGTATTTGGCATGCACCTTCTCCATGACGTCGGGGGCCTGCGCCTGGAACTCTTCCAGCCTACGAAACGGCTTCTTCAGGGCCAGCCATTGGGCATAGTACCGGTCGTTCAGCATGGAGTTGGTGGTGGCGGCGATCAGCTTCTCGCCGCGCGTCTTGTACTTGTTGGCAAAGTCGGTTAAGGAGGTCAAGTTCTCGTAGCCCGCCTCCGCAAGGAACTCCGACAACTCCAAGCGCTTGTCTCCGGCCTCCTTCTTCGTCTTCTTGCCCTTGCTCCATTTGCTGAGCAGGTCTTGCCGAGTTCTAGCAAAAGCCTGCTCATCCGCGCCGGTCTGCTGCTGCACCTCTGCCATAAGCTGCCGCTTGTGCTTCTCGACGATGTGGCGAATTATCTTGCCGTCTTTGTTGCTCTTGCGGAGAAATTCCAAGAGGCTCATGTCCTCCCGACGCCAGCTTGCTGCCTCATAGACCTCCACAAACTTGGGCTTGTTCTCCGCAAGATTCTCAAAGTTCGGCGCCATGATGTCCAGCATGGTGCCGCTGAGGTTGGCCTGCGGAAAGCGCTCTTGCGCCAGGTTCAGCCACATCTCTGGCTCAAGCACACGCAGTCGGCGAAGAACGCCGACGGCTGCGCTGTAGTCCGAGCCTCCGCCGTTGAGCCACTCCGAGTCAATGCTGCTGCTGAACTTCATGTCGTAGGTTGCCACATAGCGAAGGTGGGCGCCGTTCCGTCTGTCGTTGCTGTCGGCTTGCTGCGCATCCTCGTGGCATTTTGTGATCTCCACGGTAGCTTTCAAGTACGCACGAACATGCTCGCTCCTGTCCTCTTCGCTGTGATGCAGCGCCACACTGCCCCTTTCTGGGTCCCACACTGAAGGTTCTGCCCGCACGGGAAGCTTGGAGTCTTTGTAGTCGCGCTGCGAGTCCATGACCAAACCGTGTAGGAAGGGCTCCGTCTCCTTTGGTGGGATAGTTGCCTGCAGCTTCCTCTCCAAGCCAATGGCCTCAATGTTCTCCAAGAAGTCCAGTGAGTGGCTGTGCACGGTGCCTCGACCGTGGTATTTCTGCGAGGCTTGCTTTCTCTTTCCATCTTGAAACTCCAGACGTGTCACATGGGCAACAACCGTGTTGAGGGAGCAGTCTTCATCTTCTGGGCCAAGGACGTGGCCTTTCCATGTGCGATCTGACCTGCCGGTGTGCGACCTGTCGCCGCAGATGTAGCCCTTGTCCAGCTGCAGCAGCACCCACGCCATGTGCAAAGTCTCAGCGCCTGCCAGATGCTGACGCTCTCTGCCAAGAACACGCTGCTCGTGCATGACCCACTCGTGGTATGGGAAAGACCTTTCATAAGGCGCTCGGGTGCGAAACAAAGTGGCATTGCCGCATTGCCGCTGCATGTCCAGCACGGCCTGGTGTCTAACTCTCCAGTACTGCGGCGTCCATGGGGCGCCCTTGAGAAGGTGGCGAAGAGCCACACCGCTGCGAGCCGCCAGGTTCTTCTTTGTTCCGATAGTTGTCCACATTGACAGATCAAAAACAAAATGCAGCAGTTCGTAGTCGGCGCCGTACCCGATGACTGGCGACAAGACCTTCCTCATGAAGCCGCGTTTGATGCGGCCATGCTCTGCTGCCGCTATGTTCGGGCTGCTCTCATCTTCTGCAACAACTTCTGCGCCTTCCGCCTCGTCTTCATCGCTGGAGGTCTCAGACACGCGTCGGCTCCGTCGGGCTGCAGCTGCTTTGGCTGTGGCGCGGTTCTCGTGGGACGCCCGGGCCACGGTCTCACACATGTTGCGGTGCCAATAGAGCTGGGGCCAGATGCAACACTCCAGGCCTTCCGTCTCAATGAACCGTAGTGGGCGCCTCCTCTTTTGCAGGGGAGCGCCGTTGCCCTCCTTCCTCAAAAACTCTTGGTGCTTCTGAAGTATCTCTCGGTAGGCGCTGTCCTTATTCTGCAGCAGGCAGTCCAGGGCAGCTCTCGCGGCTTCTCGGTCGGAGCGCTTCTTCAAGGCCTGGGTGGCTTCTTGCACGCTGCACTCCTTCCAAGCAAAGGCCATCATGGCGTTGTGTACTCTGTAGCCGTGCGGCGCCCGCTCCACAAAGCCCATGTCACGCTCCAGCGGCCGCAGCGCTTCCAGGACACGGGGCTTCAAGTCGCGCAGAGGTTCTGGAACATGTTCGTACTGTGGCACATACTCCCCGTGCTTGCAAGCGGCACACTGGTTGGAAGGTATCATTGGTTTGTTCACCCTCTTCAAGTCCATGGGTGTCAAAAGGCGAGGCTGCACGCTGTGGCACTTGGCGCACATTCCCCAGGAGCCATGTTTGCACCAGGCTTCCACCATCTTCCCTTTCTCGTCCGACGGCTGGGGCAGATCTGTGTCGTTGTCTGCGACATGTCCAACTACGCCGCAGGCCTGAAGGACAGCTGCCTTCTCGGCAGCTTCCGTTTCTTCAGAGACTCTGCCTGGGTTGTTCACCTTGTCTGGAAAAAAGAACTTGCGGCGAGCCACACGTTGGTCCCTGCGAACCAAGGCTTCATACTCAGCGCGCTGGCTGTCCTTCAACAGCCGCCCCACGGGCTTCCGCTTCCCCCAACACTCTTCCCAAGTAGAGGGCGCGGTCTCCTTTTTCTTCTGCTGCTTCTGGCGAGCATGGATTTTCTTCTTGTAGGCCTCCGCCTCGGCGTCTCCAAGAAATTGCCGAACTCTTCCAAGCGCAGCATCCAAAACAGCCCCGCTCTTGGCCGCAAACTTCAACAAGGCTGCTGTGAGTTGGTTGCACCTCCGGGACACGTTTAGAAATCGGCTGCGCAAAGCAAGGAAGCATGCTAGCAACACAACTTTCAACACGCGGTCTGCAAGACTTGAGCAACATCAACATCCGTCTTCTCCGGGCCTGGCCGCCTGCGTTCGCTCAGGCTTGCAAAAAACGCAGTGCTCCACACCTCTCTCTGGATGAACTCGGGCTGGCTGGCCGGGGTTGTCTGGGTCAAATTGACAGGGCGTGCCTTGGTGGGCACGGCAAAGCTCATTGGAGCGTTTGCCTCGCGCAACGGCCGGCCGCTTCAGCAACCCAGGTCTCTTCCGAACTTGTTTCCGCATCTGCCCCTGGTACGCAGCTGGCGCTGCTTGCTTTCCTCTGAGCCGGTGCTTGGGCGCCGGAACCGCTGCGACCTCCTCGTCGCTGGTTTCTGCTGCTGCTGGCAGAACCTCTTCCACGTCTGCCTCCTCGTCTTGCAGGTCCTCACCTGGCAGCGCAAGAAACGCGCCGTCTGTGTAGTCTAGCTCCGCCTCTTGGACTTGCAGCCGGTCAAGTTCGGCTTCCAACTCCGCCAAAAACTTGTGTACGTTTAGCTCTTCGCTGCTGCTGTCAGATTTGGCGTCTTCTGTGTTCTTGCCGTCCCCGGCGCCGGCTGGCGGCTCTGGTTCTCTGGCTGCCTCGACTTTGGATCCTTCAGAGTCCTGCAAGCCAAGATGTGTGTGTGTGGGTTGGACTTGCGCACAGCAAGAGGCAAACTTCCCTGGCCCCTGCCTGCGCAGAACCACTGGCTGTCGCAGGCCGCTTTGCAGCGCGTGTGGGGGCCTCGCGCGCCAAACTAGGCTCCGCTGTTGCAAATACAACATGCGGCACGTCGCCTGCCTCCGCGGCGTCTTCTGTGGCTCGCGGCTCTGGTTCCCTGGCTGCCTCGACTTTGGATCCTTCAGAGTCCTGCAAGCCAAGATGTGTCTGTGTCGGTTGGACTTGTACACAGCACTAGGCAAACTTCCCTGGCCCCTGCCTGCAAAGAACCACTGGCTGTCGCAGGCCGCTTCGCAGCGCGCGCCGGGGCCTCGTGCAAGCAGTCTCCAAACTAGGCTCCGCTGTTGCAAACACAACATGTGGCCCGTCGCCTGCCTCCGCAGCAAGCGCCGGTCGCTTGACTGCTTGAGCAGCCACACCCTCCTCTTCTTGCGCAGGGCGAGTGGCCTTCAGGAGCTGCGAGACGCGTCCCGTTTTGTAGCCGTCTTCTTTCAGCTGCGCGCGGACGGCTTCCTCGGACAGGCCTGCCTGCCGCAACTCGGTGACGTAGTTCTGCGCGGCCTTCTTGCCTGCGCCGCCTGCGCTCTTTGGCGCCATGGCCTGAGTCAAGTCAGACTGCGGTTTAGACGCGTGTGTCCGTCAAACTGGGACTGAGAGCCGGGCCTGAGCGAGTTGAGCGTCAATCAAGTCTACCCGCAAGAAAGCCCAAAAGTCCACAAGGGGTCTCTGTTGCAGTGCTCTTTGGGCTAAAGGCAGCTGCGGCCAACACGACAACGTTTCGGGCGTGAAGTTGCAAACACACGCACACAACACACATGCGCACACACGTGCAGGGGCCAACGTCTTTTGCGTCTCCTGCTTCTGTCTTCTGCCGCAACGCGGTCGCTTCCTGTTCACTGGCTCCTGCCTGCGGGCCTCTCTATCCAACGATGCCCAGCGCAACAGAAGCAGCCTGAAGAGACACACGCTGCACGTCGCGACGGCGCAGCGGGCCTTGCTGTGCCTCACGGCCCAAGCCAGCGCCCGGCGAATTTGCCCAGGGCTCACTCGGCGGCGTCCGCCTCTTCTTCCGGGCACCTCTGCAGCCTCCTCATCTGCCTTCTTGCCCTTCTTGGCCTTTGTCTCTTTGGTGCCCTTGTCCTTGTCTGCCTTCTCAGTCTTCTTCTCCGTCTTCTTCTCAGTCTTCTTCTCCTTTGCGGCTTTCTTCTCCTCGCGCTCTTTCTTTTCTTTCTTCTCTTCCTTCTTCTCCTCCTTCTTGGACGTCTTCTTGGCCTTCTTTTTCTGGGGCTTGTTCTTCTTGGCCTTCTTCTTGCTCTCTTTCTTGGAAGCAGACGATGAGCTCTTGCCTGACGACTTGCCCGAAGACTCCTTGCTGCCGTTGGACTCGGAGCTGCTGCCGCCGTCGGCGGAACCTTCCTGCGAGGAAGCACTTGCCTTCGAAGCGCTACCTGCGCCGCTGGCCGAGGCTTCTTCTCCGGAAGAATCAGAAACCTTGCGCTTCTTGCCAGCCGCTGGCTCGTTCGCCTCCACCTTGGCCATGAGCGCCGCCACCAATGCCTGCTGCATCTTCTTCTCATCCTTGGGCTTCCGCTTCCACGCCTTGACAGCATCGATCTGCTTCCCTTCCACCTTGTCTGCCCAGCCCTGGGGGTCTTGCACCAACGCCATGTCCTTGAGCAAAGTCATTGCGAAGAGGTACAGGCCAGCCGCGTCCGAAGCCAGGCGTGCAAGGCTCCGATGGAGGTCTCCTTTTGGGTCTTGCAAAAACTTCAGAAACGTCTTGAGCGCAGCCGAGACTGCCTCTTTGCTGGGCTGGCCTGTTTTGCCAACGTTCAAGACTGCCAAGCTGTTGACGAACTCCTGACCACTTGTAGAGCCAAGCGCTTCCAAGAGCTTTGGCAAGCCGGATTTCTCCAGCTCGCCAGCCTGCGGCTTTGGGACCGCTGGGATGGCTTTCTCAAAGCGCTTGTGCAAGACTTGCGCGCCATGGTGCAGGCTGGCAGCATCCAAGGCTAAGCCCATGCCAATCCGTCGGCACAGCTCCTCATTCTCGGAACTTCGGGATTTCAAAATGCTCTTCAGTTTGAAGAAGTCCTTTTCATCCTGGCGCTTCTCTGTGTAGAAGCACACTCCGTCCTCGCTGGGGTATGCCGCCAGCTTGGACTTTGCAAAGTAGTGGTAGCGGGGCACGAACTGCTTCTTTTCTCCGGCATCCTTTTTCACAATCTTGCCCTGTCCGCGCTTGCCCTTCTGCTGATACTTTCCACGAGCCATGTTTCTCACGGGTGAGCCAACAAGAACACGGACTGAACCAGCTGCTTGAGAAGTTGCGCTCCAGACACTCAGGCGGTTCTCTCTGGCCGCTTCCGTTGGCACTTTTTCACACTGCGCGCGCTGACCGTTTCCGGAATCCCAGACCTGTGTTCCGCCGGGTTTGTCCAGCTCCCAGCGACACCAAGTCAACGCCCCCCAAAAAATGGTCCGCGCAAAACGCTGCAGTCAGCAAGCCTCTCAAGATGCACGTCAAGCTCCGGTCAAACCCCTTCAAGTTCAGTCCTTGGTCACAAATTCGTCCAAACCCCCCATCAAAACTATCACCTCGTCCCGCGTGGAAAACTCCCTTGACCACTTTAGACTTCGATCCGCCTTGCCCAGAAACCTCTTGCGCCCTGTTGCAACAAAACCTGAGCAACTGTAGGGGCAGGCAGCACGAAGCGGCCAAAACTGGTCCCGATTTTTTCCTCGCAGTAGCACACAAGCAAAACTTGCTTGGAACCAGGAAGGTTTTTTTTCGGCAGCCGCAAGGAAACGAAATTCCGGTGGCCCCAGAAAATGCCTGGCAGCAGCAGACAAGCGAATTTTGCCCTCAAATCGGCCGCGATTTGGACACGTTTCTGCACCCGGGCGGGCCCGCAGGCAGTGCCTTTTGGACACAGCGTTGCGGCATCATTTCGACACGTTTTTGCTTGCCAGCAAGTAGCGAGTTAGGGGCCAGCAAGCAGCGACTTGGACACGTTTCAGCTTGCTGGCGCCCGAGCGGGCCAGCAGGCAGTGGTTTTGGACACGTTTTTGCTTGCTGGCGCCCCAGCCGGCCGGCAGGGAATCATTTGGACACGTCTTTGCTTGCTGGCGCCCCGGCCGGCCAGCAGGTCATAATTTGCACATCTCCTTGCTTGCTGGCACCCCGGCCGGCCAGCAAGCAGCGATTTGGACACGTTTCAGCTTGCTGGCGCCCGAGCGGGCCAGCAGGCAGTGGTTTTGGACACGTCTTTGCTTGCCGGCCCCCGGCCGGCCAGCAGGTCATAATTTGCACATCTCCTTGCTTGCTGGCACCCCGGCCGGCCAGCAAGCAGCGACTTGGACACGTTTCAGCTTGCTGGCGCCCGAGCGGGCCAGCAGGCAGTGGTTTTGGACACGTGTTTGCTTGCTGGCGCCCCAGCCGGCCGGCAGGGAATCATTTGGACACGTCTTTGCTTGCTGGCGCCCCGGCCGGCCAGCCAGTAGCGATTTGGACACCTTCTGCTTGCTGGCGCCCGAGCGGGCCAGCAGGCAGTGTTTTTGGACACGTTTTTGCTTGCCGGCCCCCGGCCGGCCGGCAGGGAATCATTTGGACACGTCTTTGCTTGCTGGCGCCCCGGCCGGCCAGCAGGTCATAATTTGCACATCTCCTTGCTTGCTGGCACCCCGGCCGGCCAGCAAGCAGCGATTTGGACACGTTTCAGCTTGCTGGCGCCCGAGCGGGCCAGCAGGCAGTGGTTTTGGACACGTCTTTGCTTGCCGGCCCCCGGCCGGCCAGCAGGTCATAATTTGCACATCTCCTTGCTTGCTGGCACCCCGGCCGGCCAGCAAGCAGCGACTTGGACACGTTTCAGCTTGCTGGCGCCCGAGCGGGCCAGCAGGCAGTGGTTTTGGACACGTCTTTGCTTGCTGGCGCCCCGGCCGCCCAGCCAGTAGCGATTTGGACACCTTCTGCTTGCTGGCGCCCGAGCGGGCCAGCAGGCAGTGTTTTTGGACACGTTTTTGCTTGCCGGCCCCCGGCCGGCCAGCAGGTCATAATTTGCACATCTCCTTGCTTGCTGGCACCCCGGCCGGCCAGCAAGCCGCGACTTGGACACGTTTCGGCTTGCTGGCACCAGGCAGTGGTTTTGTACACGTCTTTGCTTGCTGGCGCCCCGGCCGGCCGGCAGGGAATAATTTGGACACGTGTTTGCTTGCTGGCGCCCCGGCCGGCCAGCAGGTCATAATTTGCACATCTCCTTGCTTGCTGGCACCCCGGCCAGCAAGCAGTGGTTTTGTACACGTCTTTGCTTGCTGGCGCCCCGGCCGGCCGGCAGGGACTTCTTTGGACACGTCTTTGCTTGCTGGCGCGCCGGCCAGCCAGTAGGGATTTGGACACGTTTCTGCTTGCTCGCGCCCGAGCGGGCCAGCAAGCAGTGGTTTTGGACACGTCTTTGCTTGCTGGCGCCCCGGCCGGCCAGCAGGTCATAATTTGCACATCTCCTTGCTTGCTGGCGCCCCGGCCGGCCAGCCAGTAGCGATTTGGACACCTTTCTGCTTGCTGGCGCCCGAGCGGGCCAGCAGGCAGTGGTTTTGGACACGTCCTTGCTTGCTGGCGCCCAGGCCGGCCGGCAGGGAATAATTTGGCTTCCTGGCACCCGAGCGGGCCGGTTTCGGACTTGCTGGCGCCCCCGCCAGAAATTTTTCTGGCAGTCGCAGGAGACTAAAACGCGTTTCAAGCCCGGCATTTCTCTGGGCAACAACAAGGAAATAAATATCACCCGGAATTGCTCCCCCGAAATTTTCTGGCGGCAGCAAGCAAGCGAAATTCGGCCTTCACAAGGCTGCACTTTTTTTGGCAGCAGCAAGGAAGCAAAATCTCGCCCGCAACTTGGGCTGAGACACTTGCCAGCAGCAGCAGCAGGTCCGCGAGATTCAGGCCTTAACTGGTCTTGAGCGTCCCCAGGCCCCACATGGCCCGCAAAACTGGAATTGGCGCCCGACATTTTGCTCTGGCCGTAGCAGAAAAGCAAAACTCGCTTTAAACGAGGCGGCCACAAAGCATGGCAGCAGCAAGGAAACAAATTTCCGCCGGAACTGCTCCCCAGCATTTTTTGGCCAGCAGCAGACACGCCAAATTTGGCTTTAACAAGGCTGCGCAACGTTTTTGGCAGCAACAAGGACGCAAAATGTTGCCCTCAACTGGGCTGAAACATTTGCCAGCAGCAGCAGGTCCGCAAAATTCAGGCCTCAACTGGTCCCAAGCGCTCCCAGGCAGAACGAGACCAGCAAATATCCGGCCGGAACTGGTCCCCGAAATTTTTCGAGCAAAAGCAGGACAACGATACTCGAAACAAAATTTTGCCCTCAACTGGGCGGAGACTCTTGCCAGCAGCAGCAGGTCCGCAAAATTGCGGCCTCAACCGGTCCCAAGCGCTCCCAGGCAGAACGCGGCCAGCAAACATCCGGCCGGAACTGGCCCCCGAAATTTTTCGAGCAAAAGCAAGACAACAATACTCGAAACAAAATTCTGCCCTCAACTGGGCTGAGACACTTGCCAGCAGCAGCCGGTCCGCAAAATTCAAGCCTCAAGTGGTCCCAAGCGCTCCCAGGCAGAACGAGGCCAGCAAATATCCGGCCGGAACTGGTCCCCGAAATTTTTCTGACAGTAGCAGGAAAGCAATACTCAAAACAAAATTTTGCCCTCAACTGGGCTGAGACACTTGCCAGCAGCAGCCGTTCCGCAAAATTCAGGCCTCAACTGGTCCCAAGCGCTGCCAGGCAGAACAAGGCCAGCAATATCCGGCCGGAACTGGTCCCCGAAATTTTTCTGGCAGTAGCAGGAAAGCAAGACTTGCGTAAAACCCGGCAGCATTTCTTGGGCAGCTGCAAGGAAACAATAAGACAAGCGAAATTCGGCCTTGGCCAGCCTGCGCAAGTTTTCCCGCAGCGACAAGGACGCAAAAATTGTGCCTTCAACTGGGTTTGCCAGCCGCAGCCGGTGAGCAAGATTCGGGCCCCAACTGGCTTTGAGCGTTCCCAGGCCGCGCGAGGCCAGCGAAGTTCCTGACGCGCACCGTGACTGACGCAAATTCGAGCACAACCGCACAATACTCATGCCAACTCGTGCAAAATCAAAGAAACTCATGCAAGACCATGCAAATCAAGTACAACCATGCAAGTCACGCTGGTTCAAGCGCATTCAATCACAACCGTGCAAAAACTCTTCTGTCGCACTGAAGCCGGGCTTCATGTCAACGGCATCTACGTGTTGGCGCCTGCGCGAGCCTAAGCAACTCCGCACGGACGCTGAGGATTATGTCGACGCCGTCTACATGGTACTTGCCGCCGAGACGCTCGCGTGAAACCTGCGGATCATGTAGACGGCGCGCGCGTGCACGCAAGCTGCTAGCTGGGCAACTCCACAAGAAAGGAACTAGCGCTTTGCAGAGCGACCCACGCCTGCGCAGGCGCAACGTTTAGCGAGACAGCCAGCTGGCAGCCCAGCTGCTTCAGACAGCGCCGCGTTGCGTTGCCTTGGAACCCGCTCAAGGGTTCCACTGCGAATGAACCCTAAACCCTAAAAGTCTGTACCTTGGGTGGCTGGGGCGGGCGAACTTGGCAACGCGAAGCGAGCGGCTTGGGGGATTTTATCCCCGAGCGAGCAACCACATCTGCACACCCTAAACCCTAAACCCTAAACCCTAAACCCTAAACCCTAAACCCTAAACCCTAAACCCTAAACCTAACTTCTAATTACTTTAATATTAATTTAAAAGTTAAAGCCAAAACGGTCGCGCCGGTGCGCCTAACACTGGGGCTTCTCGAAGCTTGTTTTCAAGTTCTGCGTGTGTCTTGCAAGCTTGTAAATCTGCTTCGCTGCTCGAATCCAAGTTCGGGGCCAAAATCGCAAATTTTGCAACGCGCTAAACTTTCGCGCTTCTCAGGCTAGGCCCTTTCGGCCGCGGCGGAGCCGTGGGCTCGGCGGGGTCCCGCCGCGGGGCTGGTGGCCTAGTGGTCGTGCGTCTGTCTCTGAAGCGGGTGGTCCCGGGCTCGGTTCCTCCCTGGCGCGCGCCGTTGTTTTCGTGGCCCCGCCACGAGATCAGGCTGCCGGGCGCAGTTTTTCGTGCCCCTGCCGTGGTTTTTTCCGGCCATTTCTGATGACTCGCAGGATCAAAGCGCCCCGGCTGTGGCACAGCGATTGGAGTTGCTTCTGAAACGCTTCTGAGGGCTTGCGCAAGGGCAAGTTTCAAGCTCACGCTGTTTCCTCGCAAACT